TACTTTCTTAAGCTTGATTATGTTTCGGGGGAATGGATAAAGATCTTGTTTGTTCGGTTCGAGTAGATATACGTATCTTATTATCACAGTTTTAGCGATCTTTTCCTTTTTTGCTTTCTTTTTTTTCTGTTTGTTTGTTTGTCTTTTTTTTTTTTTTTCTTTTTTTTTTCTTTTTTTTCTTTTCCACTTTCTTCTCTCTCATGGGATAATTTTAAGTCTCACACTGGCGCTTACTCATTTTTTCTTCTTTTTCCCTTGGATTTTTTTGTTTATATTTCGTTTATTCATTTTTGTTTGCTTTCGTATTGAATTAAATCGTTTTATCGTATTTATTGTATACAAGTGACGAGTAAATTTTTTTTTAATGTTTGGATGCAAGTTTAAGTGAACGTCAGTTATCGAAAGAAAGATTATAAATTCCATTTGTTCGTTTAATTTTGACATTGAATTTAAGAAATAATTCTATAAGAATTTCATAGTTGAAGAAAGTTCAGGTATAAGAAAATATTCCATCGTAATTTTGAATAATTCAAAAATTATCTGTATTACATTCACATTTTCTAATGCCACTTAGAAGCTAGTGGGATTCCACGTGTCCTAATGCTCTTATACAATTTGACGGCATTATAGTGAAAGTAACATCAAAATTCTCGCCTGTTTGGAATTTCTTACGGTAGATTATAATTTTCTTTTTTTCTTTTTTTTTTTTTTTTTTTTCAATTTGTCTAATTTCTACATAAAAATTTAAAGAGCGATCCTTAAGAATTCTAAAGTTGAGGAAAGAATTTTAAAAAAGAAAAAAAGACAAGGGAAAAAAAAGAAAAAGAAAAAGAGAATTCTCTCTCGTGACTTGGACTTAGGAGAGTCGATGGATCGAAAATTAGGATCATATTTTAATCGAATGAAATTCTAATAATAATATCCGAAGGCCATGAAATTTCTTGTGTGTCCATTTTTGAGGCGTCTACCTTGAAGATAGAGAGCGTGAAGGCTAATTCTTAGCGAGTCACCGTGCGATGATCCTCCGTCGTCGTGTTCTCACGTATCGGCCTGATGATAGTCGCGGCGGTCTTGCTTGCTGCGGGTCATTAAAGTTTCTCGAAGAGAAGACAGAAGGTAAGAACGTGAGAAGGGGGTGGAGAGGAAGATGGACGGTACAGAGAGTGAGAAAGAAGTGCATGCCGTGCCTTCGAGTAAATTACCGCTGTGGGCGAGAGAATCCCATAAAGCACGCCGCGTATTAAGTAGCCAGAAGAAGAAGGATTTATTCATTTTTTCTTTTCTTTCTTTCCTTCTTTTTTTTTTTTTATCGCGTAAATAAAAATTCACTTGACATAATTAGAAAAAAAAAAAAAAAAGAAAGAATTCTTGAATATTCAACGTTTCAAGAAAGATATTATATCGCTAATTGTTGTATATACCTATATAAAAATATAACGATGAAAGTATTATAAGTTTTAGAATAAAATGAACATTGTAGTGAAATGGAAAATATTGTTGAATCCAATAATGTACTTATAGGATGAATTTTAATGATTATCACTAATGAAAAGAATATTTAATTAGCGGCTATGCAGCCACACGATTGAGAATTTCTAAGTAAGGGAAATAGAGACTGATGTTTATGATTATTATCCGGAACACGTGTCGTTTCGAGTGCCGTAATAAATTTCAGCGAGTTGAACTTTGGTTAGGTGCTTTTATATGTACACACACACACACACGAACAAACACACACATATATATATATATATATATATGTACACATTTCAAGAGTGTAATAAAGAAAACGGTTTTGCAGCATAGAGAAGAGTTTCTTCTAGCGATAATCTTGTCGGATACGATCATCGAGGATGAAGGCAACCTGCCCTGTAATGTCTTCCTAGAAAATATATGTATGCAATTTCTTCGATTCCACGCTTGTCAACTTATTATTTGGTAATTAAGACTCGCTCGTTAAACGGCACGAGTATACGCCTATTAAACGTGCCAAGCTCGTTACTTAATGTCTGCAATATCGAGTACAAACTAATTGTACAAACGCATGATTATTTATATACATATTGTAAAATTTATATATATCTTGTTTTTTTTATTTATAAAAATATTTACGAACGAGGTTTCATTATGACGTTTAAATTGGGACAATATGAGAGAAAAATAAATGTTGAATTGTTTAAAAATTTTTGAATTAAAAAAAATCCAATTGACAGTTTTGATTTATATATCGAGATAAAAGAATGATCTATAATATATATATATATATATATATATATATATATATATGTGTGTAATTTTATACATTTAATTTTCTATTTGAATTTTTATTTCAAATAGATTGTCCGAGCCATTAGTCGCCGCTTTTAAAAGAGTCTTTGCATAGATAATAACGATGAACGGAACATTTCTACCGTGTATCTATCGCTTCTTTAACGAGGAACACGATGAGCACTCATTAACTCTATCATGTTACATTACATTTTCTTTTATGTAACTCACGTAATTATATGACAGTCCAATAATGAGAGTATTCGAACTATGTCACACGAGTCTTTCGATTGATGAAAGTAAATTTGATCAATTCTTTTTTCTTTTTTTTCTTTTCTTTCTTTTTGTTTTCAAACGCTATATCACATTTCATGTAAATTATAGATCAAATATTCGAAAGATAATATGTATATATGTTTCTCTATCACTTTTTTTCTTTTTTCTTTTTTTTTGATAAAAATATTCTAGTTCCTTTCTTTCTTTATCTATATAAAATACAGTAAAATTAAATGTAATATGTGTGACTAATAAATTTTTTGAGTTGAAAATAATAAAAAGTAATATACACATATATATGTATATTTGTGAAAGATTTTCAAGGTTTTTTATGTAGAACTGTCATGATTCTCGAAGAATCTCGTTTTTTATTCCACAGGACGTATACTTTTTTCAGACAAGGTACTAACTATAGTACAAACTTACTTTACCATCGTGTAATAATGACGCATGTAAACGTGTCGTAGCCGCGCGTGCGTCCGTATCGTACGAAGTACCGTGCGACGTGCGTGAACAGACTAAGCAAATTTATTTTGTTCGACCCGCTTCGAATTGTTTTCTTTCTCTCTCTTTTTCTTTATCTCTCTCTCTCTCTCCTTTTTTTTTTTTTTTTTCGTAAAAAGAGAAGAACGAACCAAGCGTCCGATGTAAATTAACGAGCGAAGGTGGTACTTCAAGAGGAGTGCACTCGGAAAATTTTTGAAAGAAAAAAAAAAAAAAAAAAAAGAAGAAAAAAGGGAAAAAACTACTTTCAGTTCTTATCAGACAGATCGAATGAATCGACCTATTTAATATTCGAAAATAACATTTTTAAATATAATTTTAAATGTTCGCTTCGATTTGAAGTGAACAAAAAAACAAAAAAAAAAAGAAAAGATATATATATATATCATATTTATATCCGAAGAAAAAGTTATTTAAAATTAGACATGAAATATCAAGATAGTAATAACATTGACGCTTTAATTTTCGGATTTTGTTTTATACTTATTTAATATTTAATTGATTAATTTTAATTAAAAATAAAAATAAAAATATATTTATGGTTTTAAATTATTCGATAATATAATCTATGATTAAAGATTAAACAAAGATATAAAATTATCATTTATAATTATTAATTATATATCGATGAAAAATAATTTTTGATCAATACTTTTTACGAATAATATTATTTGAAATAAATAGATTGAAAAAAAATTGTTCATATTATATCTCGATTTAAAGAGAATTGAATTAAGTTTTTATTTAAGTAACGTTACTGTACCAATGTTCAATTAGATTTAAATAAAAGTTATTCGAGGTTATAGTATGTTTCGACATTAGTCGAGCAGATCTTTTGACGTGTCCGGTGTTCCTCGTTCGATTCTTGGAGCAACTTTTATCTCGATCTACCGATACGCTCGCGTGTTACGCACGTTTACGATGAAGATCGAGAACCAGGAGGAGAGGCGAAACGAGCTCCTTATCGATGCGCCGTGTTCGTAACGCCAGCTTTATTAGCACGACGATAACCCGAAGGCGGCGAGTCGAAGCTCTTTAATGCCTTTAACGAGCGACCAACCTCGTACTGTGAATATCGACTCTTGCCATGGCCCAAATATTATTACTCGATCGAAAGATAAACTTTTCCTTCGGGGTTAATAATAATGATTATGTAGAAAAAAACAAAAAAAAAAAAAAATAAAAAAAATAAAAAAAATAGAAAAAAAAAATATACATACTCACGTAATCATTATTATTAAAAAACGTTTCATTCAATGGATCGACTTTTTATTACTCCGATATTATATCATAGTAAGCTTCTAAAATTTCACAAATTCATTGTCATTTTCATTATAAATTATACGATATTTTAAATCAATTAATTTATATTATTATTATTATTATTATTATTATTATTATTATTATTATTATTGTTATGGATTACGATTTATTCTGTATATAAATATAAATTATTATATTATTGTAAATTACTTTCTTTTTTACATTCTTACGTGTCACGACATTGTGACAGTAGAATTATTTTGTTTTCGAGTAGTTCGACATAAAATCAATTAATCTTTTTTTAAATATCTCCAATGAATTATTTTATTAAATGAACTTTATGAATTAATAATAAAGAATCATAATGAAAGATATGGAAAAATTTTGTAGAATTTAAAACTTAGAAAATCTTTTTTAATTATGTTTTATTTTTTTTTTGTTTCTCTTTTTATTTTACTTTTCTTTTGTCATGACACTAATGGAGATTAAAGTTACTTGGATAAAAATAAACAAATAAAAGAAATAATAATAATAATAATAATAATAATAATAATAATAATAATAATAATAATAATAATAATAATATTTACTAACAATAATAAAAAAAAATTAAAATTAAAAAAATAAAAAAAAAAATAAAAATAAAAAGGAACGTTTATATATATATTTTTTCGTCATTTTATCCGCGTTCAAGTTCCACGGCCCTCGTTCGACCTCTTGCGACAGACCTGACGGGTTGTGAACGCGGTAATTAAGTGATAACGATTAAAACTGTAATGAAGTATATAAGTAAAAAGTCCATGATCGAGTTGCTGTTGGCCCATCACGACGCTTCTTACTCAATAATATCGATGTCTTTTCGATTGGACGTATGGCACGTGACACTTCATAGGATGGACTTTGAACGAGTAAGTTTTCTAAGAAACTCGTCTTACTGATAATAATTATTTCATCGATCCCGATACGTCCACGTATCGTATGATGTTTTAAACAGAGAGGATGATTATTGTGCTTGAAGTTTTCTTCGATTGTTATTTATTTCGATAATTAATCGATAACGAATGAATGTGAGGTGGGAGGGGGGGGAGAGGTCATAAAAATTGGATACGATATAATTTCGTGCGTTAGGTCATGCTGCAAGTTCTTCTTTTTTTTTTCTTCTTCCATTTTTCTTTCTTTCTCTCTTTTTCTTCTTTTTTATCAGCAAAGTATTTTTCATATATATATATATATATATATATATATATATATATATATATATGTATCCTACCTCTGTGAATAGTATTTACCCACACTATCCTCTGCTTGTCGTAAAATGCGACTAATAAGTAATTTTTTGTTTTGAACCGACAAAAAAAATTAAATCTCGTAAAAATCCAATTTGTTATGGGAACTTTGAAGAGAATGATATTTATATTATTTATTCGTTCATAAATAAAAATTATATCAGGTTTTAAGTGAATATTATGATGGAAATAATGAATGAAATTGCGTTGTTACAATATTTGTTATAAAATTAAATGGATAATTCGAATTGTTAAACAATTAATGTGTTATACTTGAACGTTGTTATTTTTTTTCTTTTTCAGTAAAATTTCGACAATTAAACGAAAAGTAATCTTTTTCTTTTTATATTTCAAAACAACAGAGAAATCGTATTTCTTCTTCTTCTTCTTCTTCTTCTTTTTTATTTGTTTTAAAATCCTTTCTGCTTCACAGAATTCGCTGATTCGCATCTCTTTCTCACGCGCTTACTCGTACACGTGATTTCTCATTATTTTTGTTCTCTCTCTCTCTCTCTCTCTCTCTCTCTCTCTTTTATTTTATTTTATTCTGTTTACTTTGCGACGAGTATAGTAGTAACTCTTGGCGAGTTTTCTCGACAGATTCTACACGACTTTACGAATACGTGGCCGATTCTTCCGCGAGTCGTGCCGTTCGCGTGACTTCGTTTGGGTTTTCGAGATGGTATATCCGGGAGACGATTTAGAGACGAAGCTTCAACTCCCACGGACTGACTTCCGTCGAATTATTTATTACATCGTTATCGTATTCCTCAGTTTTATTATGCTTCCTAGAAAGATTATTTTGATTTTCTATTACTACGTTATTGTATGGTACAATATAGTATATCCTTATGGTAATGATTATCATCTAATTTGACTTTCTAAAATTTTATTTAAAAAATTAATCAGTAGAATATTATCCACATTAAGGTAACATATTAACGTAATGAGATGTAATTTTAATAACGAAGAATCATTATTACTTGCTTTATATACAAAAGTATCTTAATTGATATAAAAGTTTTCTTTTCTTTTTTTTTTTTTTTTTTTTTTTTTGATACATTTATTAAATACAATGCAGGCAAAACAAATTCACTTATTGAATAGAATTAAGTGATAGAAATATATCGTATAAAAACTAATGGACATTCCATAATGCACGTTCTATGGACTTTCTATTATACACTTTCCATTGGATTATTTAATCAATGCATTACAGAACGAATTAATCGCAACATTCCATTTGATTACATTCGTTTTAATACTCACCAGTAAATGATTGATAATATAAAAATTGTTTATATAGATAGACGTTAGATAGAGTTTCTGTTAGATATTAGCGCATATTTTCTTGAGAGTGAAAAATTATTGGTAGTTTGGCGTACTATCGTGAATATATAGATATTTATCTATCTATGAACAGTAAGAAAAGAGCATCGTTAAGCTAAACTTTTTTTTTTTCTAATACCTCGTTAAAGGAACGAATGATATAATCATAGCAAACATTATCGGTACTCGTCGTTCGTTCGTTCATTCGTTCGTTCGTTCGTTCGTTCCATCGTCGCAACTATAGTCTTTTCCGTATATTCATATTTTCTCTCTCTCTCTCTCTCTCTCTTTCTCTCTCTCTCTCTGTCTCTCTCTCTCTGTCTCTCTCTCTTTTTCTCTCGTAGTATGTATTATTCGTGTTCGTGAGGCAGCTATCCGCCGGAAGTATCGTAACGACACGTCTCCCATTCACATGCACCGGTATACTGTTTCATGAGAACTGTGACGCCGTGGAAAAGGGTCATGTGAACGTGTCATGGGCAGTCACCGTATACTTGCATTATGAATCCAAGCTATTCGTGGGACGTTGACCGAAACAAATAGATAAATACGTTTATCCCGATTTATCGTCCCTTTTTTTTATTTCTTTTCCTTTTTTCTTCTTTTTTCCCCCCGCCCCTTATCCTCGATTAATTCCACATCGTAATTATATTTTATCAATTAATACGTTTCAATCGATAGATGATAATAACATAATGAAACTTATATAAATAACTACGTAATACTTTTGAATATAAATATATTATTTTTTATTATTCTCGAATAATTGGAATAATTGATATAAATTAATTTCTATTTTTCAACTGATTTATCAATGTTTTCTTTTTCCTTCTTTCTTCCTTGGTTTTTTTTTCTTTCTTTCTTTCTTTCTTTCTTTCTTTCTTTCTTTTTTCTTTTCTTTTCATTCATACAATTATCACAATTTATGATGTTATTACGTTGATTAAGGAAAAAAGAGAGAGGAAGAAAACATATAGATTTGTCCTAGAGGAGAGAAAGAGTATGTGTATGCGTGCGTGTGCATGTGTGTGTGTGTGTGAGAGAGAGAGAAGGAGAGAGAAGGAGAGAGAAGGAAAGTCATGTTGATCGATGAGTCGATAAAGAACTATTTAAAGGCGTACATCGTCGTTATCTCGAAACGATACGTAGTACGTTCTAGAGAAAGAAAGATAAAAATATAGATAAAGAGAGAAAGAGAGAAAGAGAAAGAAAAGAGAGGAGTTACGACGAAGCGAATGTTGTTTTGCGGTGGGTCTTTGGACTTTCTCGTCGCTGCTACTAACGCAGCATCCATAATGGAACCCGCAAGAATTTCTTGAGAGCGTCGTTAAAGCATCGCTGTATATTATCCGCGAAGGTGCCGAGACTTTTTCATCTCGTTCAGTGTCGTCATTAAAGATAAAGAGTTATTAGCGAATATCTACGAAGGAGCATAGGACATGGCAAAGGGAAAGAAAAGAAAATGTAAAAAGAAAATGTAAAAAGAAAAAAGAAAAAAAAAGAAAAAAAAAGAAAACAAAAAAAAAAAGAATCAAAAGGAAGAATCGTAAATATACCAAGTCTTACTCTCTCTTTCCCATTTTTATTTTCTTTTTTCTTTTTTCCCCTTTTATAATCTTTATACTTAAATATCTCTTCATTTGTTCTAAACTTTTTAATTAGATATATATATATATATATATATATGTACTTTCTTTTTTCTTCTCCCTTTAATTATTTATTTAAAGATACCGTTAACGACGTTCAAGGAATGCGAACAGTTTAATCTAGAACTTAGGTAATGCTGAGATCAGTGTAAGAAGAAAAAGAAGAGGTGAAAGAGGAGCAGAAGGAAGAGTAGGTGAAGGAGGATGAGGGGTAGGAGGGGGAGGAGGAGGAAAGGGTTCCACGCTTGGGAGAAACCGACGCGCGCCAATCCCCTCCACGATACGCGAGATCGTGCGCGACGACCCGTGCCGTATTAAGCTTCCTTCACAATGACTTCATTCATCTTTTTTCTTCTTCTTTTCTTTTTGTTTTTTTTGTTTGTTTGTTTTTTTTTTTTTTTTTTAATATTTTATTCATCATTATTAGCCACAATAAAAAATATTTAATTCGAAAAAATAAGAGGATTGCAATCATATTGTTGCTTGTTTATAAATAATCATTTTTAATTATAATTTCTTTTTACAATAATTCGTCTCGTCTAAATTTTTATTTATTTTCCTTTCTTTTTCTTTTTCCTTTTTCTTTTTTTTTTTTTTCCTTGAAATATCTTTCTCCTCTTTTAATATTCATTCGTGTCTACAGGAATGTCTCTTTTTCAGGAATTTTCTATGAAATTCGATTTACTATAATTTGTAAAGTCATTGTCAAGAGGATCTACAAACAGTAAAGGTCCTTTCACATCAATTCATTCGTCTTTTCTATTCGGATAATAAATATATTTAATTTGAAAGAATTAAAAAAAAAAAAAAAAAAAAAATTCGTCATTTCCAAGTACACAGCAGTTATATGAAATAAAGGTAACTTAGTTCTGACATAATGATGATTAGAGTTTTCACGTTTCTACTTCTATGTTCTTCTGAATGGTTAGCAATTAAGAACGTGTACACGGTAGTACGAAGAAGGAAAGGGGATTGTACTGATCTTCTCTAACTCTAGCGTGAGAAATATAAGAAGGAGGAAGAGCACGAGAAGGAAGAAGAGGAGGAGGAGAAGGATGAGGAGAAGGAGGAGGAGGAAGAGGAGGAGGAGAAGAGAGAGACTTCATCGTGAAACCGGAAGTTAGAAAAGTAAGGAACACAAGTAACTGAGAACCATGTAGAAAAGTTTGGTAGCGTATGTGTGTACGTGAGTATGCGAGTGAAAGAGAGAGAGAGAGAGAGAGAGAGAGAGAAAAAAGGTAAAAGTTGAATTCTCTAGGGAAAATTGACTTCCTGTTAGTAACGTAAGAAAAACCCTTTTCGGGAGAAACGACGAGATCAGGTCAAGATAGAGTGAGATCGTAGTTCCTTTTATAGTTCCTTTTTTTATTCTGATTCATTGCATTCACACGTATTAGTATGTCGTATCCATATATATATATATATATATATATATATATATATATATATATATATATATACACATATAAAACTTTTTACAATTGAAATTATATTCGATTAAAACCAAGATAATTAAATGTACGATATCATTAAAAAATAAATTTGTAATTATTTTCATTAATTAGTACAATGATTATCTTTTTGGGTAAATCAAAGTGAAAGTTTGTACTTTTGTGTAATGAAAAATTATTATTATATCCGTTTTAA